GGAAGTTGCTGGAAATCGTCCCTCAAAGAGCATAGGCGATGAGGACGACGAAGGAGAAAACCGCAGCGGCAGATGAGCACAACGAAGACGACTAAGGGCGAAACAGATGAAGTCGAGGAGCGAACCCCTTCTTCTTCGAGCGCGACGAAACAAGAATCAACCGAGCAGACGCCTGAGTTCACCATGAGGCGAAACTATAGCAGAGCATCCCATCATATTTTTTTATATATCTATATATATGTTTTGAAAGGAATGGCCAGAGACTATCATACGAGCCCCCAACCATCCCTAATATATACAAGCATCTTCTAAATGATACACACTCAATGTTGAATCTTGAAGAAAACTTATGGTTATTGAAAATGTTAGTCACTCCACAAGTAGTTCCAAACCTAAATAATGCCTATTATATATAACTTTGATGCACAAGATTAACATGCATTTCCACCTAAAAGCATACCAAATTAATTCCCATCATACTCCATTATATCAATTCTTACTTCAATAAAAATTAGATGAAGATCTTTTTTTACTATCAATAAAAATCATATGAAGATCGTTTTGTTAATTTGTTAAAATTTTCCATTAATTATCTTAACACAAAACTTACAGAGCTTTTATATTAGATCTTACTTGCATAGAATCAAAATAGTTCTCGAAGAGCCAATATCGGTTTTTAACTTCGTACAATGGAAAATTCCTCACCCCCTCCCTCGATCACTTTTAAGTGTGTGCTCCCATGAATTTGATGTAATTTTTTCAAGTAAAGTTTCTATTACCCACTCCCATAGCTTAAGTGTATGAATCATAAGAACAATTCCAGTTAGCACAATCTTGAACAACATCTTTATCCATAAATATTAGTAACAAAATATTTCTTCTCCAACCATTTAATATCTTCAGATTCTATTAAAAATACTATTAGTCAAATCACAACAATATCCAGCATAACCCTCTAAATCTCAATAGATCTCTCGTTAGAACATAAAATTTTACATTTTTGCAGCTTTGAGAGCTAATTCCACTTGAACTTTTTTAATCAATCTATAATATGCTTCAGTATGTTCTTTGTTATGTTTCTCCAAAATATATGTTTTCTTAAATATGTCATTTACTAGTTTCTCATAGTAAAATTTCCATCTTTTAATAATGTCTCCATATTTAACCAAAATATTAATATCTTTACTTTCCATGCAATTGAATTGGTATAATCTCTAGATCTCCAATCTATGGTTTTAGCTATAATATATATCTCCTCTCCTTTATTAGTACTGAGCTTTTTTTACTCATTATCGTCTTTGAAGGCTTCTACCTTTTTTATAATAAGCCTAAATAGCATATAAAAGAGCATTTTTTTTCTTTTAATAACTCTTTGTACTTCCCACTCTACCATCAAGTCTTCTTATCAATGTACAACTCACTAATAAACTCTTTTAAAACTACTGAATCGTCCTTTTACTAGAATTAATCATCTCATCCTACATTAAATACAGATCAACTAAAGAATTTATATTTTCCTCTTAGCAAAATGTCGTAAAAGATTAAAAATTTCTCAATTTTCATTGAGGGCTATAATTTCTTTTGAACATATATCCATAATTAATACTCTGTATTATGTGGTTAAGTTGACAGTCTATTTTGTACCACATTCTTTTAGTTTCTAAGTTCTCCTAAATTGAAGAGATGATTCCTCATTTTTGGAGAGATAAGGTAGGAAGGGGATCTCAATGGAGTCCACCACAATTAATCCAAGACACCTCCGACACCCCCCTTCTGCATCCAATTGAGACCACTACCTCCATCAAATGGTGGTTTAAGCAGGTGGCTGCAGCATTCCTGTAAGTTGAAGGCCAACTGGTGGTGCACAGTTAGACCAAAAACAAAGGGATGTGGTGCCTATCCAATTGAAAAGAAGAATAACGAGGAGAAAAAAAACGGCTTTTGAATGGGCTGAAATATTATAGAGATTCCCATGTATCAACAGGCCTTTCGGGTAACCAAATTACTTCAAGGAACCCTTACACAACAGGTTCTCTGTTGTCTTCTTCTTTTTTCTCTTTTTTCTCTCAAAATCAGAAATAAACTACTAATTATTGTCCTGTCCGTAGAAACTACCTGCAGGAGGCTGGAAGTCCAGCACAACTGTTCTCATTAATTACTACTTAGAGAAGAAGATAGGAAGCAGAGGGTTACAGCAATATTCAGTCGATCGAGTAAACCATCCCACTATCATTTTAAGCACAAGAAGTTCCCATGAATCTAGTTCTATGCTGTCTTTTCTTTAATTTCCTTAGTTATTTTGTTCTCTAATGAGCACTCAATCAACCAGAGCTTTTTGGTTTTTTCCGAACTTCTGGTAGCTGTTAGATACTCCAGCTAAGCCAATAACCAGGCAATAAATCAGAATAGTCCAACGCCATTTCCACTCAAAGGTTATGGGGACTTCGGGTCCAAATCAGAGAGGGCATGGAACGGTGGAATTAGACAAAGTTATTGTGGTTTGCTAAAACAGAACCTATTTGGGGAAGGATAGAGAGCTAGCAGTAGGAAGTTCTAGGTTGGAGCGGTTTCTGCTACTCTTACAAGTGGTCCTTATATCAGTTATTCTTGTCAAAGTGCCACTGTGTTATGCCCTATACTATTACTCATTGTCAAATAGTTTCTAGGATCTTCTGGACAAAATTCAATCAAGTTTTTTTTTTTTTTTTTAAGTTCCACAAACCTCAATTAATATCACAAACTTTCTCCTAGGATTACCTTGCAATTTTACAGGAAGATTTATCTTTCATCTAGGAATTTTTTTTTAAGAGGATTTGATGATTCCACCTTTGAAAATAAATAAGCATTTTTCCCATTTGTTAAACCCTGTGTTCTTTATACAAGAACATAGGTTAAAACAAAATTAAGTATAACTTATCTTATTGTATACCTATCTCTTATATTATAACAACCACAAATCCTCTCATAGTACATGCCACTAGAGCCCACATCCATTTAAATCAACTCCAGTGAACCTCATTTCTTCAACAAGTATATGTTGTAGCAATTCAGCCATTTCTTCCAAAATTTTATTTTTACAAATTATGTTATAATCCAACTTAAGTGCATAAATACTTACTAGAATCATAGTTTTCGTATCGATAATTATCTTAATAATAACCACCCTATCACTGACCCTTTGACCTTATAAACCCCGCCAATTATCTTTAAACTCTTGCTTTAATACCAGCCCAATCCATTTGTATTATTAACCTCTTTATCCACCCTTTATACATAGCTTTTCTTAATGCCCACTGTATCATTTATTATGATACTCAATCATATGACCATACAAGAATAACGAAAACATAAATATGCTTAGCTCTCAATATTTTTTAAATTAATTGCCTAAGCACAGGAACCAAACCTTCTAGGAACAAAATCAGTTTGACAACAAGACTTCATATTTCGCTATAACTGTTAGAATTTTGAATTTATATTCCAAAATGCATAAGCGAAAATGATTCATTCCCAATCACTTTGCCTATCTTAACCTTATGGAATTAATAAGAAAGATGTTAACTAAACTACTCTAAATTGTTGTATACCTCTCCAAATATCAATATGTTTATCATCTTAATAAATAATATTACTTTTATGCATCATCTTCAAAGCTAACATGATTTAGATCTTCCCCCTAAATTTTTTTTATTATGCTCCAAAGTAAACTTTCTGTTTAAAGTTTTGGATTTAATAATTCCTAATTATTTCTTGTTATCTCCATCTTTAACTAAGACATATTTACTAGCTCTTCATACATATAATTTGATCAAATTCTCTATATATCTTCTCCTTTGTCTTAGTTATCTTATAAATCTCTTTTATTTTTCCTTTCGTAATAGGGAAATTCTAAGAGAAAGTTTGCTTTTGCTATAATTGACATGAAACTCTTAGCTTCATTATAATTATTGTATACCTCAGTAGTGTTTTTTTATTCTTCATGGAAAACAGATTTTTTTTTTCTTTGAAAATCTTTTATATATCCTCACAATTGCAAATCTCTTTACTTACAACCTTTTTCAAGCTTCTGCTACAACTTATTTAAACATCTTCTTAACATAATAAGCCATTTAAATTCTCACATGAAGTTTGATTCGACGTTAAATTTCCAATCTGCCATTGATAACAATGTATATAAGAAGATCAACTACAAACTAACTTTTAAGTTCCACAAATTTTTGCAAAAAGAAAATATTGTTTTACTTTTATTATGCTTTATATGATGCTCAACATCTTACACTTTAAGATGTGTGTTCAAGCTGTCCCACAAACCACCTAATAGTTCTTTGCAATAAGATTGTCCTTTTCTCAATAATAGAGGAGTATATTGTAATTTAACTACATTTGTTAAAGTAACTCATCTCGTGATTTTAAAGCATGTACTGACTATTATAAGATCATTAGAACTACAAAACATATAACTTCTCCGATCTCCTTTCTATCACCTACTTTCTTTGTGGCCATAAAAAATCCTCTTATAACTCAAACAAGAATATAGATGTTCAGTTAAATCACCATCAATTATTATTCACTTTTCCTCAAGAATTTAGTATAATAGTCGAATTTTTTTTCTTTTTTTTTGTCTTTTTTTATGCAAAAAACTATTCGACTTTCTTCTAATTCAACATGAGGAGCATAAGTTGCAGGTGTCAGATGGTTCAATTGGTAAAAGCCTTAGAAGTTGTTGCCAAGATCTTGAGTTTGAACCTCGCTTGCGCTGTAAACACTTTGTTGTGTGAGAAAAATAATTGAGCATAAAAAAACAAATATTTTTGTAATATCTGCACAAAAAAACTTAACAAAAATCACATTATTGGTAATTCTATTCAACTAAAAAGTTTATCTTTAATCTACCTAGCAACTACAAATTTTGAAAGCAAATTAAAAGTATATAAGATTATGCTATAAGGTAAATAAAAGTGATGTATTGGGTTTAAAAAAGAGAGGAATATGCAACTTACCAGCATTTTATTCTTTACAGAAAAGAAACCACCCGCACCCGCCACAACTGTTGGCTTGGATGCTCCAACAGCCATAATAGCCCCCTGAACATCACATAGTAATTTAGATACCAAGCAGCATATCTCAACATAGTGAAGCTAACGTATTAAGAACCTCACCTGACCAGGAGGGAGAATAGCATCAAATCTATCTACTCCAAACATCCCAAGATTCGATAGAGTAAATGTTCCTATTTCAAATCTCAAATCAGTATGCAGTAAGGCAAATTAAAGAGAATAGAACAATAGAAGTATTGATATTTTGTCATGGACAAACCTGAATTGTACTCATTGGGCTGGAGCTGTTTAGATCGAGCTTTGCTCACAAGTTCCTTCCATTTCTGAGAAAGAAGATAGATATCCAGCTGCAGCAATCGTAAGCCATTTCAATCAGTAAAGTTGATATAAAGAGAGTCACATGTCACCAAAAAAAAAAAAAGAAAGAGAGAGAGTGTGTGTGTGCGCGTCAAAATGGCCCCAAATTTTTTATTAAGTGTTAAAATACTCCCACAGTTAAAATTAAAGTAAAAATTAACAAAGGAACAATAGAACAGAAGGAAATTTTGGAGTTCAATATTTTTTGATATTTATCAAATTGTTCGAGTGATAGCCATGAGAACTATAAGATGCGGTTAGGGCGAAGGCGCAAGCGCCGACGCAAGAGCACACATGTACGCACGCACCCACCCACCTACATACACGTGCGCACACACGCACAATAAATTTGTTCATAGGAAGCAATTCTAAATATAGATATCTTGTAATAACCAAAATATATATTTTACTCTTTCAAAAAAATAATAAAATCAACATATAAATTCCAAATTATACATCTTATCACAAAAAATAAAATTCATGAATCTCCTTATAATGGAATTAAAAAAAACTTAGTAATAGATTTACTGAAAAATCAAAATATATATATCAATTTCAAATATACTCCTATTTTTAACACCCAAAATATCATTTTTTGTTAGTTTAGATGGGAGGACTATTTCAATACCTCTCTCTCTCTCTCTCTCTCTCTCTCTTTATATATATATATATATATATATAGATAACAAATAATAAATCATAACTCACTTTATCAGCATCTTGGAGAACAGGAGTTATAAGCCCACCATCAATTGCCACGGCCACTGCAATATTGATGTTGCTATTATAACTGAAGCTCTTCCCATCTTTGCAGCTAGCATTAACAACTGGATGCTGTGCAAGTGCCATAGCTGCAGCCTTTGCCAACAGAACAGTCATTGTCACCCCTTTTGACTTAACCTGAGAAAGCGCCTAGTTTCAGAAATCTTCCAACAAAGTCTATAACTTTCCATCCATCTCAAGAAGGAAAGAAGCAAAAAAGTTTCCATGAAGCTTGCAGGAATTCTAGCCTCCAAGTACGAAAGAATCAGATTATGGGAAGAAAATTCATTCAACATATCCCTGATTAAATTTAGCTCTGTATACAACAATTTATTCATGAATTACAGGCCAGTTGTTTTATTTTGCAAAACCAAAATTGTTTTTTTATTTTGGATAAAATAAATTTCTAGAATTGTATTGTAAAATGAATATGTGTTACAAATAAAATTAGATGAAAACCACTTATAGTTCAAGGAAGAGTATATTGCATTCTGAACAAACTTCAGCTAAGTATAGCTCAGGCTATCCACATTCAGATTTTTTCCATTTTATGCCAAGAAAATTGCTTGTGAAGTTAAAAAATGAGTTTCACTCACCAAATAAATAAACAATTCAATCGATAATTTATTGTTCTTGTGTCTAAATGTAAGGTAAATATCACAAGTAAATTATAAGAAGATCACATTTGTTGCTAACCAAATAAATGAGAAAATTATGCTTCCAAATGTGAATTTATTTGGTGGGCGTAGCAATATTAGTTACTGATTAAAAGCAAAATTATACCTTTTCATAAAGTGCATCAAGTGCATTAGTGATAACTGGATATCCAACCCGAAATGTGGGAACCAATAAACTTTCCAACATGTTCTTCGACACTGCTGCCTGCATTGTCGTGAAGGATACCACTGTTGAGCCCGGGATTGGAGGCAAAACAGCTTTCTCAGCAAGCGGAGCAACTGCGGCGCCTTTTGACACAGGAGTCGGAGCTGCCGCAGGAGTCGGAGAAGGCTTCTTAGTCTGGATCCCGGCAGCCAGCTCCACATCCTGAGGAGTGACCCTCCCATAGGGCCCAGTACCCACCACAGAGCCAATATCCACCTTATGCTGCTTCGCGAGCTTCTTCGCGTAGGGCGTGGCTACCAATTTCCTCGGTCCCTCAGCTGACACCGGCGATGGAGAGGGAGAAGGGATGGGAGCGGCTGCAACCGGAGACGGGGGAGGAGCAGAAACAGGAGCCTGCTGGGATTGCGAGGGAGACTGCGCCTTGGCTTTGGCTAGGGCAACCTCTTCCTCGGACTCGGCAAGGAGACCGATCGGAGCCCCGACGGGGGCGATCTCGCCCTCAGGTACAACGATGGAGGCTAGAATTCCGTCATAAAAGGTCTCGACCTCCATGTCGGCCTTGTCCGACTCGACGCGCTCTCGCCCTTGGAGAGGCGATCGCCCTCGGTCTTGATCCAGGAGATGATCTTGCCCTCGGTCATGGTGGAGCTGAGCGCCGGCATAAAAATCTCGCGGATCTTGGCGCGTACTGTTGCGATGCGAGTCGGGCGGCGGCGCCGGAGTAGACAGCGGCTGGGGAGGGTGGGTAGGGAGGAGGAAAGGGATGAAGAGAAGGAAATGGAGTTGCCGGCCGCAGCGGCGGCGAAGGAGGAGGTGGCGAAGTGAAGCGCCATTGATGGCATATCGAATGGAAGGGAAATGAGAAAGGAAGAGTGGTGAGCCGAGAAGGAAATGGAGGTTAGAGTTTCAGCAGTTCGCAGAAAACCGCGCCGCGCCCTGAAGAGAGAGAGAGAGAGGCGCGGAGACGCCGAGGTTTTGATGGATGGTAGTTGGGATTCACGGCGCGAGCAGCTCATGTATGCTGGTTAAAATATTTGGAAATTTACATGCATAACAAAATTTTTATACATTTACAAATCAAAGCTAAATATTTCTATTTTTATTTATTTTACTTTGATGAATTAAATACATGCAAGAAAAAAATTGTTTCGTTTTTTTAAAAATAAATAATAGTTATATTTTTAATGTGATATTAAAATTTTTTGTTTGTATATAAGTATGAAAATGTTCTTGTTGGATATGTAAATATATAAAAATTATGTGTTATGTGAATGTTGCAAAAAATATTACATGCCAAATTTATCATATAATTAAGAAAAAGTCACAATATGATAACTATTGATAAATAATATAACAAATAAATATTATATTGTTGAAATAATTAGGTAATTATTTGTGTATTTTATTTTAAAATGTGTTAAACATCTACTAAAATGTATTTGTCTCTATTGAAAAACCATATTTTATTTTTTAAATAATAAAAGTTGTTTATTTTTATTGAAGGAAAAAAATAATTTATTTTTAAAATAATAAGATATCTTTTTTGGATTTTTGTATATTTTCAAGAGATTTTTAAAGCTTTAATAGAAAATCATTGAGGGACTTGTTATTTAAGCATTAAGGGGTCTACTATACTATGAAATATGAGCATGTGTTGTGAGTCATAGCTTTATAAGTTACAACATTTTAGTGGTTCTATTGAGGAAAATTAATGACCTTATCTCTATATGTCTTAAGGGTTTCACCATTACAATCTTTGAGAATCTCGTCAACAAGGCCTCTAACTTCCAGAATAGCATACCTTGCAGCAACACCCCTAATGAGAAGATTGACGCTTAGATTCTAAAAGTCATTATTCTTGAATTCCTTCACCACACATGGAGGTGCATGTAGCTCTCACCCTTCTTGCTAAGCTGAGGAGACCAACTCAAATTCATGCATAGCCTCATTATAGAGGAAGAAATAAAAGACATTTTTTGATGGAAAGTACGATAAAAAGTTCAATTTTTATAGTGACAATATTTTAAGGATATTCAATCCTTTGATGAAGAGAGGCATGATCGAGCTAAAATAAGTGAAGGCCTACATAATAAGACACCCCTAATACTACATCTTCCGACATTGTATAGGACAAGCTATTAATGAATGCTTCATTCTAAAGTTTTGTTCAAAATAGGCCCGATGATGAGAGAAAACCAAAGTTACCCCATCCAATGCTTTAAGACTTCCAGGGGGAACAATCCATGTATTTTTTTTAGTATTGTGTTTTTTTCGTAGCTTGTTCTTCTTCTAACTCTTGTGGAGGATGACAACTTCTTTTATTATAAGACTAAGAAGAAGATCCAAAAGTTATTTCTAGAATATCAAGGCTAAAGTCACTATTCCTCTACCTATTATATGTGTAACACTCGCAATCATCACCAGCACTCAATGCAGCTCAATCAGAGCCTGCAAAACCTTTTATTCGTGATGTAAAGGTTAGAAATATTGTATGCTCTAAGGATAAAAATAAATCCATCATTTCTTCAACTTTAATAGATTTATTCTTCTCCTACCCTATTGAAAAAAAAAGGTTGCATATTTTATGTTATGTTTTATCTTTTATTTATGTTATGTTTTCTCATGATGAATAATTAGATGATGACATATTTTTTTCTCAATCAAAAGTAGAAAAATTAGAATTCAAAATCTTAGATGATATATATCATTTGTTGATAAAAAAAAGAGTAAGAAAATATGCATTCCTCGCCTTTATTTAGCTTTCAGTAATAAGCAGATGCTAATTGAATAACATATTCTTCATATTCTGGTATATCATTATTTTGGATTAAAAAATTCCAATAAATGTATCATGTAGTAAGAAAATCCTCCCTCATTGGATGGCAAAAAAACCATTAATAAAATCAAGAATGTTGTCATTCAATTGAATGATTCATTATTTCCATCTTAAGCTTATTTTAAAGACAAGGCAAGTTGCTAATGGTTCTCAATGGGCTATAATATCCAATCTCATTTGTAGAAGTTGCTCACTCTCCTTAATGCTTACGAGGTTGTTATGCTTTTGTAAAAGTTTAAAAAATTGATTAAGGTCATACCCCAATGAAATACTAATATGATATGCTTCTTTGAGCAATCACTCACAAAGGCATGCTATCTTTGAGAGAGTCACAGTATTGTATTCATTTCCTAAATATTTTGAATCAAAATCATCCATTATATGTGAATTTAAATGTGAATGATGTTGGAATAAATCAGATTTTTATTTACTCTAATGTTGTGATCAATGTTATGAATTTGAACACTTTGGGCCATTTTTTTCTTGGAACTTGGAAGCTCAAATCCAATCAAGTCATATTTAAGGGCTCTAATAATAAAGAATAAAATTTTTAGGATCCATGAATTTTCTCTTCTAATTTATCTCACTCAAGATAGAGGCAATTTTATATCTACGATCTAGACACATCATAAAGATTATCCATATACGACCTTAATTGTATAAGTATGACATGGTCCCCTTTATCCACCACCTATAAAGTACTTGCATGTTGAAATCCAATACTCTATTATAGAGGGAACGTAGGCTTTCAAGATCCATTAGACCAGGTTTCTAATGATAATTTTATATTTTTTATTAGCATTTTTCTATCTCCATAGCCATCATAGGACAAGCAATAAAATATTATTTGTAGGAATATAAATGTCATAGTTAAGAGATTCCTCGTTTTGATTTTTCAGTGTCTTGTGGATATTCATGTCGAAGCAAACTCAGAGGATGGGCTTGCAACCTCAAAAACTAAGTTTCATGTATGACCAATATATCAACTTCATCCACTTTGGTTCATATCATATGTATATTCTTCAGTAATGGTTCATATATTAATGAAATTATAAAAATTATGACCATATAACCATGCCTAGTTCAATAGTCCTTATAGAGGCCTCTAGAATACAACTTAACGGTGTTCTAATTGATTGTGTGTTATAAGTGGTGTCTAATAGTTGATTCTCATGTGAAGGAGACATGATGGAGATTTAAGTATGATTTTTATGCTTATTTGAGAGCAACATAAAGAGTAAGCTACTTTATTTTATGATGTAGGTAGTTCATAGGTTTTAAATTATGTAAAATTTATGAGTATAAATATTAATTATAATCATGTTATATCTATTCTTCATTATGCCTTGCATTTAATTTTTATTTAAAATGTGGTGGTTTGCCCTTAAATTTATATTTAGCATTTTCTCTTTTTATGCAAATGAATTTGGTGTCTTAACTATCCCAAATTCAATTAAGGTGAGGAGTATATTATCAAGGTGGATAGTTGAGATTTCATCCTTTACATCATTACAAATTATAGTGTCACACTCCTTATCATCACTAGTTCTTTTTATGTTGATGTTATCATTAACATTGATAAAAGTTTGAGTAATGATAATGATAGAGAGTCACGAGATTAGCATTGAAATGGTGTTCCATTCGTTATTAACAATGTTTTCATTCATTTTTCTTTTTTAAAATTTTAAAAGGAGTCACCAACTTTTTGATCGTCGTATGCTTCCCTTATTCAAATAAACCTCTCTCCCGAATTAAATTAGTGATTCGAAGAGGGAAAAAAATGAATAAGAAGGGACATACGACAAAGTGAAAAATAAGAGAAAAGAAAACGTGGAGAGCCTACATGTGATAAACCTCACAAGAATATATCAAGTATGTCTTCTCAAATAAGATTGGGCAGAGACACCTTGGACCAATATCCGTGAACGAGTATCTACGTAAACCACTCGTACCAAGAGAGTCAGGTATATGTACTAGTTTTGGGGTCAAGAGAACTCCCAAGGTAATGTGTTCCTGCTTTTAATTACATATTGTTGGAAACCCAAGAATACTCTCAATAAAAGGGGTCGCTTTTAATATCATGATTTTGGGGAAATAGGTCCACAATGGGTGGCTATTTCGGATGGGAAAGTCTTGATGTTTTGAAGCTCATGCTGAGCCATCAGGCAGAGAGTAAAACTCTCACATCTCAAATGGGTAGCAGATTTTCAGCATACATAGAATACAAAATAATGATAATCATTTTGATAGGGATTTCCCTATACGTCAAAGCATGTCTGGGCCATAAGGGCAGAGAAAAAATCATCGTATCCCAAACTAGCAACAACTTATCAGTTTTTGTCCATCAAAACAATATCAATAAAGTCAAAAGAGCATATAGGGCTCAATAGAGGTAGTCAAAGGTAAGGAGGAGTAGTCCTAAAAGGGTAGATGTGGTCGAGTTGGGGTACCACAGACCCGTCATACACAACTACTAGGACCCTAAGTCTACCCCGATCATGAAGGTAGTTGACCCAACACATTCTGAGATCCCTGATCAGCAACCCATGAAATGTGTCATCCATGAGGACCTTGGCAGTTTTTATATTAAAGGAAGGAAACTCTATCCTATGATTATAAGTTAAATCTCCATGAGATGAAGCTTATACCTGCCAAAGTGGCGATGATACCTCAGAAAAGAAGAAAAGTAGAGATTTAGCTACAAAATTGGAAATGCTCCTAATAAAAGGAAATCTGTCTGGGTCAGGAGCCTTTTAACACCCTAGGTGCACTAGACAATCATCAATATATAAAAGGTATGTTGGGTCAGTCGGATTGGAAAAACATGGGGGCTTCTCCTCGGAACATACACATAGAATGTTGTTATCTAGAGCGATCCTTAAGTATTATGGAGGCTCAATTAATTATGACTGGGGAGATAGTCATGCATGTAGTTTGTTTAAAATCTAGCCTGAAAGCCATGAAAAAAAGTAAAAGTGCAAATTTTAAAGTCTTGAATATTTTAATCCTAAAAATTCATTATATTGAATTTTTATTATGATTTTGTAGAGCGTTTAGGATTTTAAGTCCTAATTAGTTTATATTGTATTGTTTCCCAAAAAATCACATAAATAAACAAGAATAAATTTCATGCATTCAAGCACGCAATAAGGAGAAAAGCAAGCCAAATAA